TACTAGGAAAAACATTTTTAAAGAATGATGCATTTCTTGACTCAATGATTGTATTGACATGTATATCAGGAATATCAGATTTATGCATGAGAAAAAGATATGCACTGCTATTTATTGCATAACCAATAAATGTACAATCAATAGTCTTAGTTCTTATTTTAATCATTTTGAAAATAGGAACCATCATCTAGTCAAATACCCTCACACTTTTAAATATTAGTAGGAAGGACTCCAACTTTTCCATAACTCATAAGAGGTTTTGTCTAACTTCTTGTGGGGTAGTTTATTTAAAATATAGTTTGCTAAAAACAAAGCTTCTCCCACAAGTTCTGAGGTAATCCTGAACTAATCAACATGACATTCATTATCTCTTTAAATGTTCTATTTTTACGTTCAGCAATTGTATAAGGTACGGAAGTTTGGTGACTAATACCACGTTCTTAACAGAACCTCTCGAAAGGTGCATCATATTCACCATCTCGATCACTTCTTATTGCCTTGATTTTTTTGTCAAGTTGATTCTCAACCTCATTCTTATAATACATAAATTTTTTCAATATTTCATTTTTACTCCTTAGTAAATATACATAACAATATCTTGTCCAATCATCAATACACGTATACTTCTTTCCACCTATATTTTGAATATATTTCAAATCACATGTATCAATATGAATTAACTCTAGAGGTTCAGTACTTCTCTCAATATTATGAAATGATGTTCTAGTTAATTTTGATTCAACACATGTTTTACATTTATAATTTGCATAAATATTGAATTTAGGCAATAATTCTAAATTCATTAATTTGCGCAAAGTATCAAAATTAACATGTCCTAATCTACCATATCATTCATTGGAAGACTCAAGAATATAAGCAGAAGATGTGTTCTTATTATTAAAATCAGATACAATTTTCATTACATTCATCTTAAAGAGTCAATCGCTCATATAACCGTTGCCTACATAAATTCTACTCTTGGCGAGTACAAATTTGTCAGACTCAAAAACCAATCTAAAACTTTTTTTAGTCAACAATGATGTAGATACAAGATTCTTTCAAATTTCTGAAGCATGTAATACATCATTGAGCATAAGTTTTTTTTTCTAGAAGTCATCTTCAATTTAACATTTCCTTTCTCTTTAACTTTGGAAGTATAAGAATTTCTCATGAATAGTTGTACTCCATCATTAATTGCTTCATATGAAGAGAACATCTTTTTATCTGAACATATGTGTCTAGTGGCCCCGGTGTCCACCCACCATTCCTTGGTATTTTTCACCAAGTTCACTTCGGATACTACAACAGATAAACTCATGTTAGATATATTTTCAGAAAGTTTTTCTACTTCGGTTATATTGGCTTGGACAACCTTTCTCTTGTGCTTTACGACTTCGACAGTCATTTGCATGATGCCCCGGTTTATTGCACATAAAGCAGTTGTCTTTGAACCTTTTGAAATCACCACCCTTAGCCCCTTGTTGGCCAACATACTTCTTTTATTTGTTGGTTTTATGTCCCTCTTCAATCACATATGCCTTTGACTCCATAGAATGATTATCAATTTTCTTTTCGGAGACTTTATTGTCCTCCTCAATCCTCAATCCTCAATCTCACAATCAAGTCTTCAAGTTTCATTTCTTTGCTTTTGTGCTTCAAATAATTTTTGAAGTTCTTCCAATTTGGTGGTAATTTCTCAATAATTGCAGACACTTAAAAAGATTCACTAAGCACCATCCCTTCGATATGAATCTCATGTAGGATCACTTGAAGATCTTGAACTTGACTTATGATAGTCTTGGAATCCACCATTTTGTAGTCAATGACTCTGTGTACAACGAATTTTTTCATTCCGGTATCCTCCGTCTTGTATTTTTTATCCAAAGATTCCCACAACTCTGTAGCCATCTTGATTGGATTATACACATTATATAATTTGTTATCTAATCCATTGAGGCTATAGTTTTTACATAGACAATCAGAATGCTTTTATGTATCTACCGCAACAATAATTTGGCAGTTGGTCTCATTCTCACTACAAATAGGAGCATCCCTATGAAGAAACTTTACAAGATTCAACGTAGTGAGATAAAACAATATTTTTTGTTGCCATCTCTTGAAATCATTTCCATTGAATTTTTTGGGCTTCTCCCCATAAGACACATGAGTAGGTACAAAAATAGGCACCAAATGTACAACATGATTTGTAGTAGTAGGAACATTATTATCATTTGTAGCCATTTCTAATAAACAAAGATTACAAAATATTCAAAATTAAAAAAACACCAACACTTTTCAAAACACGTTACTAAAACAGAGACAATCTATGTTACTGTTTGAAGTTACCACTTCAATGTTATTATATGGTGTCACTGTTTGGTATAACTGTTTAAATTATACGCATAAACAAAGTCATTGTTTGGTGTAACTATAACAGTTTGTTGTAATTGTTTAAATCATATGTATGAACAAAGTCATTGTTTGATGTAACCATTTAAATTAAACACATAAACAAAACATGCAATTTTTTCACAAAATTTTTCAAGTCTCTTCAAAATATCACAGCTAATAAAAAAACAAGTTTTAATAATTTATAATATTTTAGAATAGTATAAAACATTAAAACAAGTATCAAAAACACAATAAGCAACTATACAAATTCGGAAGTCTGTCTTAAGATTATTGTTTGTGGTATTTCAAATATAGTAAAATTACTTATTGAAAATTTTGATTTGAAACATGTAATATATAACAAAACAGTAACAATCAAGTATGAAACAATTACATGGAATACAGAAACAGTTACAGAAGAATTAACGAAATAGTTACAACAGTCTTATCAAAACAGTTACACGTAACTGCTTGTTTAAACAAAATAAATAAAAATCCGTTTGCTGAACAAGAACTGTTATTGAACTTAAATAGATCATGGCTAGTGTTTGACACTATGTCCTTAAGTCAAATTTTGCCCCCGCACATAGTGCTTGTGGAATATCAAGCGTCTGTCTTCCAAGATACAATGATCTTTATACGAGTAGAAGTAGCACTTCAATCTACTCGTTTAGCGAACCAGATATTGTGTTGTGTACTCTCCAATGCAGACTGCAACTGTCTTAAATGACTAACAATGTATTGGATGTAAAATGATTATGTGACTAGATTATTTATAGAGAGAATGGTGACTGATTCAGACAGTGACTATCTGAACGGATGCAACCTAGCAATCACTTGTAGCCAAAAGACAACACTTGTGTAACTGTTCTCTATGATCATTGCGATCCAACAGATATCGAAAATTAAATTTCGGATTAAGAAACTCACGCCCAATTAGTTAAATGAATTTTCTTTAAAAAGATAGAGCTCACCCGATCAGGCAGCGCGCGCCCATGTGTGGTTGAACTGAAGGCATATAGGCGTTCGCTCCGCACATTAAAATGTGGCACCCCTTGGGACTCAATCCCATAGAGTAAACTTGACCTATATATGCCTATGTAAAATTTCTTTCTCAACCAATGTGGGATTGGTGTCAAATTTCACATTACACAACCTCTATTTTCACATTTCAAGAGAGTTACTTTGGAACCTATTTTCTCATTTATTTTTTACTCGATTTGAGCAAGTGAATATATTACATTATACTTCTCATGGAGTAGAATATGAACCCACAAAAGTTTATTCGAAACAGCAAACGGGTCCCATTTGTTGGTTTTTTTTTTATGGAGTCTAGTTTGTATATGTGATCCGGACGATGACTCGACCCGAAGTAATGTTGTGTGGTTTTTAATGGAAAATTTTCTGAGGCTTAGTCCATGGAGCGAAGGCTTGGTGGACGTAGGCAAATTGTCGAACCATGTAAAATCTGTGTCTTGTTCTTTCTTGTTTCTTATTGCTTTATATTATTGATTTGTTCTTCGATTGTGTGTGTTTGTTAGTATATTTAAATCGAGTTAAATCCCAACACCATTTTTATTTAGGCTCAAAGTTAACCAAAACTTCAATTTTTACACTTAAGAAACTATTTTGTGTAACTATTTTGGTCCAACACAAAGTGCTCACACGGATGCTTTTTAATTGTACCTACAAAATGAGCAGAAAGAAGAAGTTATCAACAAGGAGCCCGGCATGCATTTGTGCTCCACTGCTGTTTCTATGAGAGTACGATATAGAGATCTGTAGTTTCTTGTTAGTTTTTTTTTGTATATATATGATGTCTACTCTTTTTTGTAGCATATGTCGTGTGCATTTGGACTAATAACAGAAGATGTGATTGAATCTTTTACCGATGTCACTCTTGAATGATGTATCCCTTTTAGCTAGGGTCAAGTTACTCGCACAGATCAGTTAATGCACTGCAACGCAATCTTTATTCACAGGAATCTTTTTTGGAACTTTGTTGTTTCACTTGTAATTACTCGAGTAGCAGTTTATTGAATTTCTGAATGGGTGTAGTTGGGAAACAGAGTATAGATACTTTAGATGAAAGGAAAAGTTGTGTAAGTGTGAGCTGTGTCAGTGTTGGATTGCAATGAATGAGTCTCTAAGGTAATTGTGGTAGTGTATGCACCATTTGAACATTCCCCTAAATAGGACATAGAAGTTATTAGTCTTATGAGTTACCATGTGAGTCCTTGACTGAATCGCTCTAAATTGGATATTAAATGCTGAATACAAAGATACAAAAGAAGGCATCCTTTTTTCTCTGACAGGCAAACCTGACACCCCCTATAGACTACTTTTAAATCACTAATATATCAAACTATCACAAAGGATAAAGTACATTGTTGTTTACACTGGAAGCCACTTTGGGCATACATGAGTAGGTCATTTATCTGACAACTATATCTAATTCTCCGGACCCTTAACGTACAATTGTATGCTTTGGGTTAGGTCCGCTTTATTTCCAAATAAGTTGTTCAATAAAAGTCTAGATCTCACACTTACTAAACACTTTATACACACTTCATCAAGCGATGTGATCGCCCTATGACTATACACTTTCATCATCCAGAGGTTGGAGAAATATGTGCAAGCAACTCCTCGTCAACTTCAAATTTTACCATATCTCCCTCCTCCAAATTTAGCCATGCTTCTATTCCATCACCTTCTCTGGTGTCCATGAAAGTGACTAAGTTCTTGAAAGTCAGCCTAGTTGAGCCCACCTTCACAGGTCTCCCCCACCCAAAATCTACATCATACAGTCGGAACCTGCACAAACTAGTGAAGCTAAATGAAACCATCTCTCCTTTTTCGAACCTTTGAGCATTCTCTTTGAGCAAGTTCAAGTGTTCGTCGCCTTCTCGGAGCTTTGTTACGTAATCCCCATCTATGTTCTTTATTGCCTCTCTCATCTGCTTCACAAGGTCACAACTCTCATCTCTGGTGTCCATTGATGGTGTTGCTATGGCTATTCGGTAAAGATTACCAAAAGAATGTTCCGGCAATGGAGGATCCATCCTCGTACGTAGGTTCACCGCATGAAGCACACTGTACATTTTTTTAGGACTTGATTCTATTTCAGTCAGTGCTCTGAATCGATCCCAAATGAAAGCAGATAATGCCTCAATGCGTGTTGGACGTAAATCATTAAAGTCAGTGTATTTTTCTCTAAGAGCAGCTACAATGGAGTTATTGAACACAAACCTCTTTACGACAATCTTCTCCTTAGTTATCCCCACGGTTGGTTTAAACCCCGAAATATTTCTAGGTGGAAACAGCTTGGCTGACTCGAATTGTGGACACAATATGTTACTATCGCCACGCGAAGTCGCAGCCCAACCAGTGATTAACAAAGCAATCGACAAGGCATCAGCAATTTTGTGAGAAGTGCAAACTCCAATAGCCATTCCACCACAATCGAAGAAGTTGACTTGGACGGCTAGTACAGTTTCATCGACATCATCGAGTTCACAAGGTAGAAATTTGTTGAGTTCATCAGGAGCTAGGCCTTGGATTACTTGAACGAGTTGGCACTTGACTCTGGCTTCCGAGTACACAATCCCCTCGTCGTTGCAGTCTATGGAGATGTTGTCTACAAGTCTTCCTGCAAGGGGATAGAAGCGTGTTAAAGTCTCGGATAAGGATATCTTAAGCCGATCAGATTTGTCATCATTGCTCAAATTGGTGTTGAAGCTCGATTCATAGAAAAAGATCATAGGCATGTAGATTGGAGGGGATATTTGATCAAGAAAAGAGAGAGGGTAGTTTCGAAGGGGGGAAGGGGTTGGAGAAGATGGTTTGATGGTTTCTCTAGAGAGAACTTCAACTTGAATCTTCATTTTCACCTTATAGAGGATAAGCCACACAAGACAAATCTTGAGACACTCTTAGACTTTGATTGTGGTTATTATGAATGATGGACTGATATAGCCCTTATATATAACTACTAGCGAAAGGCTTGTGAAAGATGTTACCAACAGTACTCCCATGCACGTAGTGTTCAGAGGCAACAAAGCTCTACCTTTGGGGTTGGTAGTGTTTTTTAATTTCCGATGTGTGTGTTGGGGGACGAGGGCAGGTAATGAAAGTGACAATGATAGGAAAATTAGAAAATTCATACCATTCTCAGATTTTGGTGCAAGGCTACGTATGAGGGTAAGCAACTAGTTGTAGTACGTAATTTCCCTCTCGATTGCCACTTTTCTTTTGTGGAATTCTTTTTATATAAGTTTCAATTAATTAGTGAGTATTGAATTTGAAAGAACGAAGGAGTGAGTGAGTGAGATAACTCTTTCTTGGATTATATCATGAGCATATCTTTCCGTTCACACCAGTCATGAATTTTCCTCTAAACCTCTTGTATATTGTCGTAATGTGCTTAAAGCTAGGTCTTGAAACAAACTTTTCATCTCGTCCCCATTTAGATCTCATTCAAATCCTTAGTGATTTTTCCTTCGAATTTTTTTATGATATAAGTGAGCTATCTTCGCTCCCTTAAGCTTATCTTCTTTTGTTTTTTTATTCTTTGCTGAGATAAGTGATACATATTTTATCAATGAGTGCTAAAATCAGGAAAGCAGCTCGTGCAGATGGTATCACAGTCAATCCTCTAGTGCAAGAAGCAAGGTCGTTCATGCTTGATAAGAACATCGATTATGGTAAACCCTTTCGCAACTAGAACCCTTTCGCCTACTAGTTGCGACGTCAAAGCGTAGCTTACTCATTTATAGATTTATTATATCGTTAAATTCATAATCTCAAATGCATTTTGAACCGAATTCCAAGGCCATTTCAATTACGGGTGTCAAACATGTCGGGTTAGGTTATTTCGTGTCAAATTGATTTCGAATTTGTGTCGACAATCCCAACACCCAAACTTGACATGTTTAATAATTGTGTTGAGATGTGTAAACACTAACATGACCTGACCATTAAACATATTACCTGAATCTCACTTATTTGGCACGTTTAATAAATATGTCGTTTTTTGGTTAGCACACAAAATACGATCTGTTTAACCTATTCAGCACACATAACATAGATCTGTTTAACACATATCATCTGTTTGCAGACCGATTCATTGTCATTAAATACATTATTTAATCATTCATCCAAATTTTAAATAATTTTTTTACAAATAACATGTTACATCTCATCAATGAAATTAACTAAAATACATTAAAGTTTTAACCTAAAAATTAAAGCAAGAACTATTAGTATATTGTCATAATAATTTGAAGAACTATATTGTCAATTACCATAGTAGAAGAAAAAACTAATAAATAATAATGTTAAGATCACATCAGTTATATATAATAGGCAAATTATGCTGCTATAAACGGGTCAACAATGGATTGGGTATAAAATCATGTCAACCCGTTTAAAATATACAGGTTAATCAGGTCAAAATCGGGTTGACCTGATTTTTACATGAACTTGACATGTCTTTTTTCGTGTTTAAGCGTGTTGACCCGTTTTAACCCATTAACTCGTTTAATTTTGTGTCCGACCCATTAATTTTGTATTCGATTCGTGTTGTGTTAACGTGTGATGTCAAAAATTAAGAGCCTTGATTTCAATTGGCCAAACATTTGTTCAACCATAATTTATTAGTTACTTGAGAGTTTCAATCAATATTTTCAACGTTGGAGATTTGGGATAAACTCTTAGTTAGAGCCAAGCTCAGTGAACCAAGCAAGATCACTGATGTAATCATGATAGGGACTTTGGCTTCTTTTCTCTAATCCTCGTAGCAGATATTATTCACATAATCATCTTAGTCCAATGAAAATATAACACGAAAACAAATGTTAGATACTTAAGCAAGCCATGTGTTTATAGTGCCAGAGGAGAAAAAGGGACGTTTAAGACACAAGAGGACTTAGAAAACAAGTCTATGTTTTTCACTTTTTTGGGCAACGGATTTCCTGCAGATTTTAAGGTGATTAGTCTGCTGACTAGAGATAATGATCTCTCTTGCATCTAGATGGCAAACAATCACTCTTCTGCTAAAGATATTATAACTCGGGTTGAGTGTAAGTTGACCTATTAATTAGTCCAACTTAACTAATTTACACGCCTTTTAAGATGTCTCATCACTATTCTAATTATATTATTTGAACATTAATGTTGGGACAATGGTGGTGCAAAGACGATGGTCGTGGTGGTGATGATAGTGTTGGCAGTGGCAAATATATTAGTGGTGGGATGACAGTGGCGGTGATGGATGTCAAAAAAAAAAAAATTACTAGTTTTTGTTGCAGAAATGTTTTTGAGGAAGTAAAATTGTTTTTCCTACTTATGAATTCATTTAAAAAATATGATCAGTTCTTAAATAAATTGGTTTAAATACCTTGTTAAATCAAGTGCTTATGATAATTATCAACTCTAAAATCTTTAAGTCATCCCCACTACCACCTTACGCAGGCATGGAGGTTTTTTTGGAGCTAGTACATCTGAAATTTAATGATGTTTTTCATAAATTTCATATATAATCATTAAATTCGATAATTTTAACGACGAATAATTAATTTTAACCAAAAAAGACGTTTTTTTCCTTCTCACCTAGACAGAAGCAGGTAAATGAAAATTAATTCTAACTCCCACGTGAAGAAAAAAAAAGTAAAAGGTTCGATAAAAAAATTGGTTAGGGTTTACAATATGTGTCGATTCTTTATGATTGTGAGATGCTTACCAAACATAAAGGCACTCAGTAGGTCAGTGTTGTTTTCACATGGCATAGGCTTTTTGGTGCTGAGATTTAAGATTACAAAAAACTTTTCATTCAATTGCCTGTGCAATGCTTTACACCAGCTCTCTGTATGCCTCCATGTTAGTAATCCATTAAATTTAAATTCAAGTCTATTAATTCTGGTCGGTTTTATATTAGACCAACCAAATCGTATCTAGAACTATTATTCCTAGCACAAAGAGTGGGTTTGGATAAGATTAAAAGAGTGAGTTTTGTAAAAAAAGTTCAATGTAACTTCTGAATTTATGTTTAGTTCAAAATTTGAAACTCGGGATTTATAAAAGAAAATAATGCTACGAGGGTTTGATGAATACCATGGGGGACGTTTTTAAAAGTGAAAGATTGGATTTGAAGACAAAAAGATTACTTTACCCAAAATTTATTCTTTGAAGTGCTTTTTTAGGAGTTGAACTTCCATTTGTCCATTTTTCGAGAAAAAGTATCTCTTGTTTCTTATTCCCATTCCGATAAGAATGAATATTATGAATCACATTTCGAACAGACATGAATACTACATCTATAGAATAAGAACTCATTTTCTAACATTCTATCAAAATAAAGCAATTTATAAAGCACATGTTGAAACAGGTGAAATCAAAAGGCATTACTTGATGAGGCTACTATGAAATATTTACTCATGGATGGGGCAAGCTATTCTATTTTGGTTCATGGTTTCTCTTGGCTATATGATTCATCCGGGGAAGAGATCGAGCTTCAAGAAATAGTAAACAGTCTTATCAATACACAAATGTATATTTATTTAATAATGAATATTTTAGTAAATTGAGTAATATGATTTTACATAAATTCATGGATCTCACATATCTATATAATATAGTTGATTACAATTTTAATTTCAAAAGATAAATAAAATGATTTTTGATTTTCGCGGTTCAAATCACTTTAAATTTTACTTTAAAGCTAATCTAACAGCTAATATTAATACTCTAAAATTTATAGGAAAAATAGGGTCCTAAGGGTGTGTTTGAAGTGACTTTTTAAAAGTATTTTTAGGAATTATTTTTCATAAATACTTTTTAAAAAATAGTGTTTGAAACTGCTCCACCACCACCACCACTACTGCCACCGCCATCACCGTCGCCGCCACCACCGTTACCATCATCGCTGTTGTAACGCCCTAAAATCCACCTTAGACGGTCTTACAATCTAAAAATCATTCACATCACGAGAGCAACTAATGAGATTCATAAATAAAGATATTTTCATTTATCGTCCTTAATATATACAACATTATCCAAAAAAATATGCCAAACTATGGTCGTTACATCCAAAAGAATATGTTAAACAATGATAGTTACGCCCAAAAGAATATGCCCAAACTAGTATCTCGCAGTGAAATAAGGAAAGTTTCAACATAAGCATTATCTCAAAATGAAACTCCAAGTCTAGTACAAAAAAATGGCAATTTTAGACATCCCCCTCCGTATCTACATGTCCATTCACTTGAGCTTCCCAATTTACCTGCTTGTCAACTCTGAACTCTTCCTCTAAATCGAAATTTGAAAATAAACATTGTTTATAGGGGGTGAGCACTCAACTTTGTAAGAAAATCCTCCCAAACTTGGATAAGGTTTTGAAAATATACAAAACGAGTCGATCTCATTTCACAAATATCATATATAACTTTTGAAAGGAAACAGTGATAGTTTATCAGATCTCAAGTTTAAGCAATGTCAACAAATTTAAAAGAAGAGATAAAACCAATTCCCAACAATAAGACATTTCCATAACAACAAACACTACCCACAATTTGTACCATTCTTAACAATGTATATCAAACCATAACTTGTATCTATGTACATGTATCTTAAGTATTATGTATGACATCGCATGAATAAACACATCGAGAATATCCTGGCCCACACACATACACTCAATCCTCGCAAGGATATCCAATATTTAGGAATGACGTATACCAACACATTGACAGTGACGAATCCAACCTAGGAATAATATACTAACCCTCACCCTCGGTACCAGTGAGCGAATAGTGGTTTGGTTCTCACAAGGCACCAACCACTCTGAGTGGTAGGAAAAATTCAAAACCGCATGGAGTAGGAAACGCATCTACCCACTCTACGATACCCGGTCAACGATCACCCATGGTCA